GATTTTGCATCAACTGAAGGCTTTTCATGGAGGTTTTAGGACATCCTGATAATAACTAATTACAGTAGTCAAGCCTTGAAGTGATGAATGCATGAACTAGTTTTTCAGTGTCACTCTGAGACAGGATGTTTGCAATTTTAGAGATATTGCACAATGGAACCAGTCCTACATAGTTGGTTAATATTTTATATATTAGCCCTCTATAATTTGAATTTGGAAGTTAGAGATCATCCAGGTCTTTATGTCTTTAAGACATTCCTGTAGTTTAACTAGCTGGTATATGCTATCTGTCTTAATGGACAGATAAAGTTTGGTATAATTTGAATAGAGGTAAAAATGGGAGTCTATTAGATATGATTCAAACCACCTTCAATACATTTAATACAGTTTATTTAAATCCAGGTTGAAGACTCACTTATTCTCAGCTGCATTTAAATAAAGCACCAAATCCGCACTTAAGCTTAAATTTCAAAACGTACATTTTAACTACTGATTTTATCTACTGTTCTGATTTTATCTGTTTTGATTTTATATACTGTTTTGTTTGTTTGTTTGTTAGTTAATTAGTTAGTTAGTTTGTTTGCTTGTTTTAATCAATTTTAAATCATGCTTTTTATTTGTTTTTGTTTCTAATGTCTCTGTAAAGCACTTTGAATCACCTTGTTGTTGAATTGTGCTATACAAATAAACTTGCCTTGCCTAATACCTACAGTTGTACCTACAGACAGGGGACTACAGATGAGTCCACTGTCAAGAAGACACAAGAAAATCATTTGTAACCTTCACTAAATGAGATGAGCTCTGAAACCTGACTGAAACATTCCTCTCCAGATGATCAGTTAGTTGTTTTACTCTTTCAAGTCAAGTCATCTTTATTTGAACAGATGACTTGACGGTCCCCAACCCCCGGTCCGTGGCCCGGGGGTTGGGGACCGCTGCCCTACCTGGAAAAACTTTGCTAGACCCGCCCCTCAACAGCTACCAGCTGTCAGCTACGTAGAAAAGGATCCTGGTGTTATTTGTCTCTCGGAAGTTCATAACTTCCCTTCAACTCATTCATGTCCCCTAAAAGGCATCAAACCTCCTTGGCTGTAATTGTTCCAGCCCAGAGTCGATCATGACCATTTGGCCAGTCACCACCTTTCATTGTTTATATCGTTACAAACAACAACAACAGTAGAAAAACCCAACAACATCGGCCCATAAAACGAAAAATTACCATTGGCCCACCGATGGGCAGTCCAGCTGTGATGATACGTCTGTGAGATTGTTATGAGTACCTGTTTCTGTAATGGTTAAAATTTTATTTATGAAAAAAATCATGAAGTCATTATGAGTTAAGGAACGCTCAACAGAGCTCTGACTTTCTGTCAGCCCGGCTACAGTGCTGAAGAGAAACCTATGGTTGGTCTTATTTTCTTCAATCAGTGATGAATTTTAAGATGCTTTACAGAGGGCTTTTTTACAGTAAACAATTTTCCCTACTAAATGAGGATCTTCTAAATTAGGACAATTGACCTGACACTCACAATGTTGTCCTGATTTCATGTCACTAAATAGGTGAAATCACTAAAAGCTATAGCTAATGCAAATTCTTTCCAGAGGTCCTTCTCAACACGGGTCTAATAGAGTTCACTAAACAGAGGAACCTTATTTGTAAGAATATAGACTCATCTGGAGACAGCAATGCCCTATTGAGCACTTCTTTTCTAGCTTAGAAGAGAGAAAGACCTTGAATAATTGGCATGCCTTTTTCCTTTTTGAAGGTGTGCCACATACATAAGGCCTTGTATTCTGCGTATGGAGAGGAATGTGCAATACACATAAAGACCATGTTTTTATATAAATGTGAGCTTCTATCAGAATGTACATATTACTCTTTTCTCATCTGCAGACTCCTATTCAATGTTTCTATATACATGTGAGAGAGAGTGTCCTGTTTTGGCTTC